ATTCTCGCAATCCTCGCTGGGGGTAAATGCCACCTGTAAAACATCTTATACAAGTTTTCTTTATATGCAGTTAACATTGTTTTTATGTTTTTTATGCTATTGTTTGTTTGTGTTTGTTGTAAAAAATAAAAAACTTTAAAAAAAAAACAACAATAGCCATTTCAAGCAACCACATTTTTTTCATGCTCCCAATGCTTGTAGTCACATTAGGCCCAAAATACTTTTAATCGTTTCCATGACTTCAAAAGAGCTGAAGGATGCAGGATAAATGGACTATCCAGGTCAAGATGACAGAACCTCAACAAGTTGAGGAACCACAATAAACAAGTTTCTCTTGCTGCTTGTTTCAGTAGTGGCCAGAAAATAAAATAACTGCGTTATTTGCAAGAAGAAAGAGGATGAAGCTAACGTGTTGTTCCTTCAGAAATCCTGACTGATAGCGTGATAATTAGCAGGATGCATCTTCATCCTAGGTAGCTGGACCAGGCTAAAGCTTCTCTTGTGTATTTGAACCAGCTTCCGGCTGCTTGGAAGAAAAAGGTATCTCTGTAAAAAAAATAAAAATAAAATAAGTTAATCTGGTTAACCTACAAATCATTAAAATTCCCATGAACTGTATCAAAAATCAAGGGCTTATAGCACATCATTTTGTGTCATAGTAACTTGTAAAGAGATAGTTATTTGTCATAGTAACAAGTAAACACAAAACAGTATTTCTAAAATTTAAATATGGCCAGTATTGTTCTTTGGACGATGATCCATAAAATAGTTTATGGATTGCAGTTTAAAAAAAGGTCCAAACCAATTTCTGGTACAAGAAGCAACCAACTTTCATATAAAATATAATTGACATATGCTTTTTGAGGGTTTTCTCCATCCTTCTTTCCTGGTCAATCTCAACTTTATCACAGGAGACATGTCCTTAGTTTTGGCAGCAACATCTAGCATTCCTTAAAATTAATATACATTAGAAATATGATCATCCAGCTGTTAATATCTGTGTAGCAGATTCTGTTGAAAACCTTAGTTTGGGCATAGACATATTCCATTAGACTCAAAGTTGAAACCACTATGCCGATGATGAAAAGTAATGCAACAGAATTCTTTCTCGTTATTTCCTTGTAACTCAAGGGTGACCAGCCTCCATAGCCCTTTCACAGCTCCCAGAACTTCCACTGGATTTCAGCAGCAAACACTCTCCCTCAAACAAAACAAAATAAAACTATCCAGAAATCCCAGCTGTGCCAACTTCAGTGTCTCATCCAGCCCAAAAAGTTTTTCCATCCATGTTCTAGAACTTCATCCCATATGGAGAAGAAGCTTTCATAACACATTTGGGGTGTATTCAAGAGAAGCGTAAATGGAGGGAAAATAAAAGAAATTCCATTCCACTGTACAAATAAAGTCTAGCCATATAAGGTTAGATTTAACCCATTACTATGATATATTATTGTATAGATTCTTGTGAGGAGAGGGCAGGTTTAAAAATTCACCAGGAAAGAAAGAAAAATGCAAAAGCACTCTTATGGAGTTATGGAGGTTTTCTTATCCCCCTGACTGCCAAAATTATCTGTTTAGAAGCTAAAGAACAAGGAGATTCAATTAGACCTGACAAAAATTGCTCTTTCTCCCTCCCTCCCTCCCTCCCTCCCTCCCTCTCTCTCTCTCTCTCTCTCTCACACACACACACACACACACAAACACTTTCTTGTCTCTATAGGTAAATACTACTAGGTTAATAAATGTTGTTACATAAGGGCATAAAGATTGCATGGCTAGATTCAAATACAGATTATTTTGTTTGTTATTTTGTCTCCAGCCCTGATACTGGATAAATAGCTCATGACTTAAGAAGCAGGAATGTGCTT